GACTTGCTGCATCAGCATACCTCTCTTCGCATGGCGCGTAGATAACTCGGGCGTGCGCGAGCAGGGACTTCGAGAGGACAGAACTAGAGACCACTGGCCTCCAGGCCGATTCTAACCTAGCATAATAGTGGTGCACATGGTTCGTAACTTCCTTCATGCATAATTCCGAGCGCGGAAAAGCTCGCACAAGAGGGCGCCGTGTATAGGGTCAGGGGCTGCAGAGCGCATCAGCCAGAAAGGTCGGAAGTGTGGCTGTGGGGCTGTCTGAGACCCGAAGTTCTGCAGCAGGCCTTGCTTCTTTCCACCCTCGCCCAACTCCCGCCAGCTACCTCCTGGGCCTCTTTAGGCTTTGCTCTTTTCTCTTGTTTCTGCTCATTTCTGATGACTGATTTATTTAATTGGAGGTGTTATCTCAATCTCTGAGATTCTTTCTTCTGCTTGATCCTACCCTGTTCTTGAGACTTTCCACAGTATTTGTATTCCTGAGTTGATTCTTCATCTCCAGGACTTCGTTAGGTTTTCTTCACTGTGTCAATCTTCTTGTTGAACCTTTGTTCCATTTCCTGGAGGCTTTTAGTGGTTTCTTGTGTTGGTTATTGAGTTGTTGTGCAGTCAGTGAGGTGTCTTATGATCCACATTCGAAATTCCTCTTCTGTCATTTTAGTTGCCAGATTTTGGTTGTGTCTGTTTCAAGGGGGCTGGTGCTCCTCTTTGGGGTGTGTTTTCCATTTGTTTCTTCATATTTCCGGAGTTCCTTCGTTGATTTCTTCCCATTTTACTTGGTTGTTGTTTCTTTCCTTTAGGTTTCGTTTGGGTAGTTCAACATGTCTTGTTTAAGTTCTTTAGTTTCTGAGCCAGTAGGTGGAGTTGCTCTCTGTCAGCAGCCTTCGCTGGGGTGGTGTCTGCGGGTCTCTCAACCCGCTGGGGATAAAAAAAAAAATATTTTTAAAGTTTTAAATTTTAAATTTTAGCATATTATGGGGGTACAGATGTTTAGGGTACGTTTATTGTCCTTACCCCACCCAAGTTCTTATTCTCATTTCAATGTCTGTGGTATATATAGTGATATCACCTCTTCTACTTCTGATATTGATAATTTGTGCCTATTTTTCCTTTGGATGTTTGGCTGGAAGTTTATCAATTTTATCAATCTGTTTCAAAAAACGAACTTTTGGTGTCATTGATTTATTTCTATAATTTTTCCTATTTTTAGTTTCACTGGTCTCTTTTTTTTTTTAATTTGAGACAGAGTCTCACTCTTTTGCTTGAGCTAGAGTGCTGTGGCATCATCATAGCTCACTGCAGCCTCCAACGTCTGGGTTTAAGTGATCCTCCTGCCTTAGCCTCCCAAGTAGCTTAGAATATAGGTACACATCACCATACCTGGCTAATTTTTTCCTATTTTTTTTTAGAGATGGGATCTTGCTATGATGCCCAGGCTGGTCTTGAATTCTTGGGCTCAAGCAATTCTCCCACCTCAGCCTCCCAAAGTGCTGTCCATTACAGGTGTGAGCCACCATGCCTGGGCAGTCTCTTATCTGTATTATTTCCTTTCTTCTGCTTGGTATGAGTTTATTTTGCTCCCTTCTCTAGTTTTCTAAATAATAAGCTTAGATTGTTGATTTCAGACCTTTTTTTTCTTTTTTATTGTAAGCATTTGTTGCAATAAATTTCCATCTCAGCACTACTTTAACTGTTTCCCACAAATATTGGCATGTTGTATTCTTATTTTTTTTAGTTCAAAATATTCCTAATTTACCTTGAGACTTCCTTTAAGAACTTTGCATTATTTAGAAATGTATTCTTTTTTTTTTTTTGAGACACAGTCTCACTATGTTGCCCGAGCTAGAGTGCCATGGCATCAGCTTAGCTTACAGAAACCTCAAACTGTTAGGCTCAAGCAATTCTCCTGCCTCAGCCTCCCGAGTAGCTGGTACTACAGGCATGCACCACCATTCCCGGCTAATTTTTTCTATATATCTCAGTTGGCCAATTAATTTTCTTTCTATTTTTAGTAGAGATGAGGTCTCACTCTTGCTCAAGGTGGTTTTGAACTCCTGACCTCGAGCAATCTGCCCGCATTGGCCTCCCAGAGTGCTAGGATTACAGGTGTGAGCCACTATGCCCAGCCTAGAAATGTATTCTTTAGTTTCCAAATATTTAGGGATTTTCCAGCCATCTTTCTATTATTGATTTCTAGTTCAATTCCATTAAGATCAAAGAATATTCTTTGTTTCAGTTCTTTAAATTTGTTGAGGTTTGTTTTATGATCCACAATATGGGCTAGCTTGGTGATAGCCCATGTGTACTTGAAGAAACTATCTATTCTGTCTGGTTTTGAGTGGAGTATTTTGTAAAGTCAATTGGTTGACTGGTGGTGTTCAGTTTTTCTGTATCTTTGCTGATTTTTTGCATGCTAGTTCCTCTTATTACTGAGAGAGATCTTGATGTCTCTAGCCATAATTGTGGATTTGTCCAATTCTTCTTCCGGTTCTCTTAGTTTTTCTTCATGTATTTTTTTTTTTTTTTGAGACAGTCTTGCTTTGTTGCCCAGGCTAGAGTGAGTGCCATGGCGTCAGCCTAGCTCACAGCAACCTCAAACTCCTGGGCTCAAGCAATCCTTCTGCCTCAGCCTCCCGAGTAGCTGGGACTACAGGCATGCACACCACCATGCCTGGCTAATTTTTTGTATATATATTAGTTGGCCAATTAATTTCTTTCTATTTATAGTAGAGATGGGGGTCTCACTCTTGCTCAGGCTGGTTTTGAACTCCTGACCTCGAGCAATCCACCCCCCTTGGCCTCCCAGAGTGCTAGGATTACAAGGCGTGAGCCACCGTGCCCGGGCCTCTTCATGTATTTTGAAGCTCTGTTATTAGGTGCCATCTCTCTCAAACTGCAGCCCCCAGGGGCTCCCTGCTCCTATCCTCTGGCTTCACTTGGGTGCCCACAGTTTCCCAACTAGGTGTTCCCGTTGGGCCAAAAAGTGGCAAGATAGAAAAAAAAGCAATGAGTGGGGGGTCTTTCCCCCATTCTTTTGACCATTAATCCTCTGGTCAAAGAAAAGGACTCCTTTCCCTTTAAGTTTGAGGAGCCTGCTACTGCAAGTTTCCAGCTTTGGGACTGGGACTTCCTTGGGGGTAGGACTACAGGCAAAAAAGAAAAAGACAGAGAATTTCTCCCATTCTCTCCATTCCAAAGTGGGGCCCCTTCTTGTTCCTGAGACCAGAAACAGAGGTCTTCTGTTAGCTTTTCAAGATAAGGGAGGTAAGTGATTGTGCTTTTCTACTTTACATTGGAAGTGTCACTATTAGTTGAAACTGTCTCCTCTCTTCCTTTCCAAGGCTGTGTTCTGGTTTTAGTCCTACCATTCAAAAATTTGCTTTGCAATCTTCATGGCATGTTGGTGGCCCCTCAGACTCTGTAGTTGGTGCTTTTCTCAAACTATCCAATTTTCTCTTTTAGCTATCTAATTTATTCTGGTAGTTTCTGCTGGTACTGAAACAATCTGCCTCCCCAACCCTGGTCTCTCCTAGCCTTCTCTCCTGAGCTGGACATGTTCCATAAACACTCCAAGATCTATCTCAATTTTTCCTCTGTCAACACATTGTCTCTCCTGTTCTGCTAATCTCAATATATGGCTCCAGCCTTAACCCAGCTGCTCCTGAAGTTACGTGGGGAGCAATAGTCTGTCCCTTTATCCCACTTGACAGTATTTCTGTATTGTTTGTAAATATAAATATATTGTGGATGTTCAGAAAATAGTCCAGTGGTGTATTTTGGAAACTGATGATCTATAGGGAAGAAAAAGTTGAGAATCCCTCTACTGTTGGGCCCCTGAATGTCTCTATAGCCCTTTATCTCATTATAGCCTGCTGCACAATTTTCTTTTCATGCTGTGCCATATGTAGTTCTGTGAACTCACCATGTGTGTTTTTTGTTTTCCTGTGTTTCCTCATGCTGTCACTCCATATTCATGAAGGAAGTGACATTTTTGTTGAAGGACTCAAAGCGTTGCCTCCTTAAGTGGAGTGTAGTTTGATGACACCAAGTGGCATTTAGTTCCATTTCTTGTGAATTTCAGCCCCAGTGCTCTGTCCCATGCTTAGTGTCTCTCCTGTACATGAGCTCCCCTGGAGCAGGCCCTGTGGCATCTTCATTTTTATTTCCTTGGCAACTTGCACAGGTCTGGGCACATAATGTTGAATCAGTATTTGAATAGTCTTTTCTTCATGAATTAATAACATAGTAGCAGGGGTTTTTGTTATTGTTTTTGCCCCCAGAAAGTATAATATCAAGCAAGACATAGAGTCAGGTATCCAGTGTAGCTGTTTCTAGTCTACGCTTTTTGTTTTTTTTAGACAGAGTCTTACTCTATTGCCCGGGTTAGAGTGTCATGGAATCAGCCTAGCTCACAGCAACCTCAAACTCCTGGGTTCAAGTGATCCTCCTGCCTCAGCCTCCCAGGTAGCTGGGACTACAGGCATGCGCCACTGTGCCCAGCTAATTTTTTCTATATATTTTAGTTGGGCAACTAATTTCTTTCTATTTTTAGTAGAGACGGGGTCTCACTCTTGCTCAGGCTGGTTTTTTTATTTTATTTTTTATTTCAGCATATTATGGGGGTACAGATTTTAAGGTTTCAATAAATGCCCATTTCCCCCCTCCCCCCACAAGTCTGAGTCTCCAGCATGACCATCCCCCAGATGGTGCACATCTCACTCATTATATATGTATATACCCGCCCCCCTCCCACCTCCCACCTGCCCAATACCCTATTACTGTAGTACCTATGTGACCACTTAGGTGCCTCAGGCTGGTTTTGAACTCCTGACCTTGAGTTATCCTCCCGCCTCAGCCTCCCAGAGTGCTAGGATTACAAGTGTGAGCCACTGCACTCGGCCTCTAGTCTACTCTTAACAGGGCTCCATTGAGAGGATTAGATCCCCATGCATCTTTTCCATGCATCCCATTCTGATCTTTGCAGATTGTTTTTATAGGGATCTGTGTCATTTGAGGATGTGGCTGTGGATTTCACCCGACAGGAGTGGCACAGACTGGATCCTGCTCAAAGAACCATGCATAAGGATGTGATGCTGGAGACCTACAGCAACCTGGCATCTGTGGGTGAGGATGACTGTCCATGTAACTCCTGGTAGCATGTGTTTCCTTTGATGGTTGCTATATGTGCAGCCTCTGTAAGTTTAATGATATTTTAGTTTCAGATTCAAGGGTCACAGATGACTGATCAGTTTAGAGCACCAGGATGAATGTGTGTTCTCATTTCCCCAATGAAAAGTTTAAATGGGCCCCCTTCCTTGTGCAGCTCATGAAGATGCACCTTCCTCTTCCATCAGAGGCCCTAAAGCTAAGACAACTTGGCCCACGTCCTGTGCCATTTCCCATTAACAGGCCTCTGCGTGGCCAAACCAGAGATGATCTTCAAGTTGGAGCGAGGAGAAGAGCTGTGGATATTAGAGGAGGAATCCTCTAGCCATGGTTACTCAGGTGAGTGAGCAAGAACAGACAGAAGGAAAATAGGAGAAATAAGATTCCATTAAATCCTGTCAAAGGTTATCCTTGTGCAACATTTTCCAGGAATCTCTTTTTAGAGGCCCTAGCTCTTTGAAAATAAGGACAGAAGGTTTACATGCTTCACATACCAAAATCAGACATCTTAATTTCACACTCAAACTTCAGTGCTGTCTCCCATTTTATCTTAAGTTTTGTAAAATTGTTTACTGCTCCTGTTTATCTCTGCCTCATCTTACATATTTACTCTTCCTTTCCTCCATTGCCTTGGATGCCTTCTGTTATCAGGCATTCATTTATTCATTTAGTCACTCACAAAATTTTAAATGAGTATCACTATATATGCTGGTCACATTCTAGGTGTAGGGATCCAGCAGTGAATAAAATGCTATCTCTGTTCTCTTAGAGCTTGCAATATAGTAGGGGAAAGTGAACAGAAACAAACAAATACATAATATGTTTAGTGGTAAAAAGGAAATGTAAGATAAGAAGGATAGACTAGATTGTGATGTGTACTTTTAGGTAATGTGGTCAGGGAAGGCTTTTTAGTGAGGTTAACAATAGTGCACAAACTTCAGTGTAGTAAGAGAGACAAAGCCATGTAGATCTTGAGTATTCTGGGCAGAGGGAACTGTAATTACCAAGCCTAATCTGAGTGATATGTCCTAGGATAGCAAAGAGGCCAGAGTGAGAGAGGGTGAGAATGTTACGAGGTAATATCAGAGAGTCAGCAGGGGGCCAAATTACATAGAGTTTAAAGTTGTGTTAAGGAGTTTAATTTTATCCTGTGACAAGGGAAACTCTTTTGGGGTTTTATGTGAAAGAGTGACATGCTCTGATTTCTTTTTAAAGGATCTCTCTCACTGCTGTGTGGCAATAGTTCTGTTGGGGATAATGTCCTCAGGCATGATAACAACCTTCTTCAGCATCAGAAGATTCAAGCTTTGGATCAAAATGTTGAATATAATGTATTTGGGAAAGGCTTCCATGAGAAAACAGGCTTCATTAGACATAAAATAACACATATAGGAGATAAAAACTTTGAATGTCATGAATGTGGGAAAGCTTATTGCAGGAAATCAAACCTCATTGAACATCTGAGAATACACACAGGGGAGAGACCCTATGAATGTAGTGAATGTGCAAAAACCTTCAGTGCAAGATCATACCTCATTGCTCATCAGAAAACTCACACAGGGGAGAAGCCCTTTGAATGTAATGAATGTGGGAAATCTTTTGGCAGGAAGTCACAACTCATTCTACATCGGAGAACACACACAGGAGAGAGACCCTATGAGTGTACTGAATGTGGGAAAACCTTTTCTGAGAAGGCAACCCTCACGATTCATCAGAGAACTCACACAGGGGAGAAACCCTATGAATGTGGTGAATGTGGGAAAACATTTCGTGTAAAGATATCCCTCACTCAACACCACAGAACTCACACAGGGGAAAAACCCTATGAATGTGGGGACTGTGGGAAAAATTTCAGTGCAAAGAAATCCTTAAATCAACATCAAAGAATTCACACAGGTGAGAAACCCTATGAGTGTGGTGAATGTGGGAAATTCTTCCGAATGAAGATGACTCTCAATAATCATCAAAGAACTCACACAGGTGAAAAGCCCTATCAGTGTAATGAATGTGGGAAGTCTTTCAGGGTGCACTCATCTCTTGGCATCCATCAGAGAATTCACACAGGAGAGAAACCTTATGAATGTAATGAGTGTGGCAATGCCTTCTATGTGAAAGCACGCCTCATTGAACATCAGAGAATGCATTCAGGAGAGAAACCCTATGAATGTAGTGAATGTGGGAAAATCTTCAGTATGAAGAAATCCCTCTGTCAACACCAGAGGACTCACACAGGAGAGAAACCTTATGAATGTAGTGAATGTGGAAATGCTTTCTATGTGAAAGTACGCCTCATTGAACATCAGCGAATTCACACAGGAGAGAGACCCTTTGAATGTCAAGAATGTGGGAAAGCTTTCTGCCGGAAAGCACACCTCACAGAACATCAGAGAACTCACATGGGCCGGCCCTTGCTTTGCACCATGGAGAAAGCCTCTCCCTGAAGATTCCCCTAGCCACTGGATCAAGCTCCTTGGGGCATCTGATCACCAGGGCACACAAAGTATGCCTATAACAATTTGACACCTACATTTGTGCCAGAATATGTCCTGGTCCCCTTAGGGGGTAGCTCATTGTTGTTTTCATTTGGATTTCCCTAGTTAGTGATGAGATTTAACATCTACTCTGTTGATTGGCCATTGGGTTTTTTCTTTGGTACACTGACTGTTCATTGTTTTCTAATGGGCTGTTCATCTTTTACTCTTGGTTTAAATGTTTATTTAATGTATTAGAATATAAAAATCCTTTTTTTCCAGTCTTATGTGTTACAAGTATCTTCTCTTGGACTATGGGTAGTTCTTTAATTTTGTCATCTCTTTCCTCCTGCCGATGTTTTATGTTTTAGTATTATCAGTTTCAAGGTGATGATATTCTCCTATACTTTCCTCTAAAGTTAAGGTTTTCCTTTCAACATTTAGAATTTTAATCTCCCATGAAATTTTTTTGTATAATATGAAGTCTGTAATATATAATACTATTTTTTCTTTTTAAAACTTTACATAAATGGGATCACACTGTATTTAAAGTTCTGCAGCTTGCCTTTTTCATGTAATGTTACCTTTCTTAGATCTACCAATGTTGATAAATATAGATCTGGTTTATTCATTTATCCTTCCATTCCCCTAGTGAAAGACATTTGTATTGTTTCTGTGTTTAGTGTCTAAACATTTAAGTGGAACTGATGGGTCATAGGGTTTGGGCAATTTGCCAGTTATGAAGCTATTGTGTCCCAGCTCCAAGCCCACCTTTCTTGACTGTGCTTTTTTTTTTTTTTTTTGAGACAGAGTCTCACTCTGTTGTCTGGGCTAGAGTGCCATGACGTCAGCCTACCTCACAGCAACCTCAAACTCCTGGGCTCAAGCAATCCTTCTGCCTCGGCCTCCCAAGTAGTTGGGACTACAGGCATGTGCCACCATGCCCGGCTAATTTTTTTCTACATATTTTTAGTTGGCCAATTAATTTCTTTGTATTTTTAGTAGAGATGAGGTCTTGCTCTTGCTCGGGCTGGTTTCGAACTCCCAACCTTGAGCGATCCACCCACCTCGGCCTCCCAGAGTGCTAGGGTTACAGACATGAGCCACGGTGCCCGGCCTTTGACTGTGCTTTTGTGACTCTAAAAACCACCTTTCTGGCTTGCCACCTGCTCCTTGTTGAGCCTTGCCACTAAGAGATACCAGGGATATGAACTTTGGAGCTGGAGGAGGAAGAAGGAACTTGCTCCTTTATTTCTTCTTTCCTATTAGCTTTCTATTCATCAGAGTGTCTGCACAGCATTGCTTCTTCACTTGGGCAGCAGCAGTTCCTTGTCATAGCAGCCATTTCATCCAGTTTACCATTTTCTAGCACTCATAGAACAACCCTTATGGTAACCCATGCCCTCTGAGACACAAGCATCAGCTGGTTGGTGCCACCTCTTTAGAGATGATTCCCAGCCACATGATATCCCCTTCTCTACCCTTCTAACTTTTAATAATTCCTTTGTTACTCTAGCCCAGCTGTTGTCTGCAGTTGCTACTTCCCTGATAACTTGAATATTCTTTTTGTCTCTTCAGTTATGTAGTTAACAACTTCATAACTAGTTAAAATTTATTTATAATAAGTTATTTCTGTTAAAGTAACTGGGTATGGTTTCTTTCTCCTGGCTGGGTCCTGATTGATAACAGAAGTTTTTCAACTTTATTAAGTATTGACTTTTTCCCCTTCAAATTGTCTTAATTTATACTCTTATGAATAATTTGGGAAAGTTTCCATTTTTCCAGTCACCAGCACTTATTGCCAGTCCTTTAAATTGCTGCCAATCTGAAAGATGTGAAATGGCTTTAAGCCTTTGCCTCTGTAAATGTGGTGTGTCTTTTTACTTTTTAACTCATCTTTTTTTTTAACTTTCAATAATATATTCTAGTTTTCTCTAAGAAATTGCCTTTGAAAGTTAATTTTTTAATAGCAACTTTGCTCATGTACATGTATATAAATATATATTTGAAAATATAATGATGTTATGGGTTTATATATATAAATATATTTATATGTTGTATGTGTGTGTGTCAGACACACATCTTCCCATAAAACATTTTTGTTTTATGTGGGCAATATTCATTTCATTTTACCCACACATTCACCACCTTGATTGCTCTTCATAATTTTCTGCATTCTATCTAGGATCATTTTCTTCTTTGCCTGAAAAATACCCTGTAGAGTTTCCTTTAGTAGGAGTCTGATAATGGTGAACTTCTCAGCTTTGTCAGAAAATGTTTTTATTGTACCTTTTTTGGTAAGCAAATGTGAATCCTTCACATTTAGTATTTGGTAGTATTATGCCACAGTAAATTGATGCTAAATTAAGTATTTTTGCTTTTTTCCTGAGTGTCCCATAATGATTATGATGATATAGGATATTTGAATTAATCATCAACTACTCTACAGTACAGCATATACTTGAATATACATATTACACCTTCGGTATTTTCTATACAGTATGTCCTCACTCTCGTTTACTAAGTATTAGTTAAATATATCAAGATACAGTCTCATCAGTTCTTCTAATCTTTAGGTCATTGATTTAAGAAATTGAATCTGATGTTTTAAAATTTATTATGGAGTATGTCAAACATAAATAAAAGTAATCTGTAGTGACAGAAGACAAATCAGTGTTTACTTCTGGAGTGGGAATTAACTCTTAAGGGGTAGAGGGAACTTCCTGATGGAAATATTCTATATCTTGATTGGACTGTGTTAATGGGCGTATATAATAGTCATCAAATGGGTGAACTTATGATTTGTGCATTTTATTGGATGTAAATTACATTTCAATTTAAATTTGGAAACAAACCAATAGAAAGTTACCTGTTTGCACACCAGGGCTGCCTGCGCGGAAACCAGGAATTCTGACCACTGGAACAAATGGAAGATTCTGGTAGTGGGCAACTCAGCCCCCCCCCCCAAAGATTTAGAAATTGTCTCGCCCCCTGAAAATGACCTTTTCTGCGGCCCCACTCTGGAATGTGCTGACCCTTCATTAGCTACCATCACTATTTGTGGTGCTCCCCCCTTGGCCAACACTACAGTGGAGATTTGACTTCCAATAACCTGAGTATAATCTCTGCAGATCCACCACCATAGTGGTTTTTACCCCCATGACATGGCAGCTCAGTGTCTACCAATCTCCCATTAGCTCTCACAGCAGTTTTTGATATCCCTTTAAGCCAGAGCATGATGTCTACTGACCTACCATTAGTTCACAACATTGTGTCACCCCTTCACTCCCAGCTTAGTGTCTGATAATCCTCCACTAAGTCAGTATCATGTCTTGTTGCCTTGCTTTAGTGTTAGCGTGGTGACAGCTGATTCCTATTAGCTTGCAGTCCTGTGTCTCATCATCTTCCTTTCTACCTAATGTAGTGTCTGTTGACTCCATGTTAGCCCTCACCATTTTGTCTGCTGATTCCCTGTTGGCTACTAGTATAATGTATTTAACCCAGTGAGGTCTCATCATGGTGTCTGCACCCCCTACATTAAAACCCATCACTGTTTCTGCTGATTTTTGTTAGCCACTGGTACAATGTCTTTACCCCCATTAACCCACAGCACAGTGGGTCCAGCACAGTACAATTGTACCAATCTGTGTGTTGTTCCCCAATTAGCCACCAATATGGTAACTTTGAACTTCCTGAGCCCCAGGACAATGTCAGCAGAACTCACATGACTGTGTTGCTATCTTTTGATACCCCATTTATAAGGTTGCAAATTTTTTGACCTTGAGGACCCAGTGGTTTCTGCTTTCCCTAAAATAGTTCTCATCACTGTGCCTTCTGACCATACATTACAGCCCATCAGTGTTCATCTGCTGACCATACATTAATGTCTTCTCATTTACTTGCCACCAGCACAGAGTATGCCCATGTTTTTTCCTTACCGTAGTCCAATCATTGTGTCTGCTGAATCCCCCCATTAACCATGAGTATTGTGTCGGCCCATTTAGGCCTCAGTAGAGTCTGCTGACCCCACAGTAGCCCCCATCACTGTATCTGTTGATTTTTGATTAGCCAACAGTACAGTTTCTTCAATGCCCATGAGGACCCAGCAATGTATTTGCTGACCCTACCTTAGCTACTGTTACTCTGTCTGCTGATCCCCAGCAATCACAAGAGCAGAGACTAACCTTCATGAGCTCCCAGCACAGTATCTGCTGATTCCACATTAGTCCACCTTGCTGGTCACCTATTAGCCTTGAATAGTGTATTTGGCCCTTATAATACCCAACCACAGTGTTTGCTGACCCTGCATTCACCCTCATCACTGTGCCTGTTCATCCCCCATTAGCCACGAATACAGTGTCTTTGAATGCAGTGACACCCTGGCACAGTGCATGCCACCCTGCATTGGAGCCTGTCATGGTGTATGCTAACCTCATATTAGCCTCAACACTGCGACTGCTGATGACTAGCCACTACTATGGAGTCTTTGTCTCATGTTTCTGAACCACAGTATCTGCCCACCCTATATTAGTATCATCACTATGTCTGCTAATCTTGGTCACAAGTGCAGTGTCTTTGATCTTCATAAGAAACCAGCCTAGTGTCTGCTCACCCCGCCTTAGCCCGTAATCCCTCTTTGTCGATTAGTCATTAGCCACCACTGAAGTGGTCTTGTCTCTATCACAGTATCAGCTCATTCACTGACCCTGTCCCTGTTATGCTGATGCCTCATTGTCCCCTAGTACACTGTACTGACCTCATGAGCCTGAGCATAATGCCTGGGGTTCAGTAGAGCCTGCCCTTCATGAAAGCCCACCATGGTTTCAGATGATCCTGTATTAGCCAACAGTACAGTGTTTTTGACCCCATGAGATCCCATAGCCATGTCCACTGATGCTCTATTAGCTCCCAACACTGTGTCTGTTGAATCCTCATTAGTCATCAGTATAGTGGCTTTGATCTCTGATGACACTGCACAGTTTCTGATGACCCTATCTTGGGACCAATCATTGTTTCCTGATCTCTGTATGCTGGTTTGTTGGTTGTTCTTTCAGTCCCTGCAACGGTTCCTTCAACTCTGTTGGTTCTCCAGTGCGTCAGGCTTTTTTTAAATTTTATTTTTCTGACTGTTCACTGAGCTTCAGAGACTATTCCTTGGTATTTTTGGGTGTGGAATCTTGTCCCCTTTTCCTTGACTGTCTTCCAAATACAAGAACTGTTTATAGCCTCTCCAGATATTTGACAGTCCCACTGTTCCTCAAGTCCAGACACTGTCCCCTTGTGCCTCCAGCTGTTTCCTTGTTTCTCTGGCTATTCCCTCAGCCCTAGAGATTGTTCTCCTACCTCTCTGGCTGTTGCCTAGGTAGTTTTCACTGTTGCATGACATTTGGGGATGGTTTCCTTTTCCATTTGGCTTTTCTAGATTCTCTGCCTGACCCCTAGCTACAGGGCCTCTCTGGCCTCTCTGGCTATTTTGAGAGTTAACTGCAACACTATTAGCTGTTAGTCCCTGTGGCAGTTTTCTAGTGTCCTGGGATGTTTCCTCAGGATGTTTTCTCCCTGCAGAGAGATTGCCTGCTTCAGAGCCGTGGTGTGGCCTCCTGGCAGGATGTCTGTAGCCCTGGAGTTGCTACATTTGCTCCCATCACCCTTCCAGAAAATTCATTAAAGTGAACACCCTCAGCATTCAGTTTGTCTGTGTATGAATCTCTGGGAGAGACTGTGACAGCTGAGAGGAAGAACGTGGGGGTCACAGCTGTGTGAGGTGTACAGCATGGGGCCCAGCTCAGTGGGGTAACCTGGGG